CCTGACAGGCTGATGGCTTGGCTTGGTGGGTAAAGGTTCTTGCAGCCCTAAGCCTGACCAAGTGCTATCCCTGGGACCTGCATGGTAGGAGAGAATAGACTCCCTACACGTTCTCCTCTGACTGCTATGTACATGCTGTGGCATGTGTACCAACCCCCAGTACTCAACCTGAATTGTAATAAGAGAAAGTCAGGAGTTGGTTGAAAAGGAAAGGTGCTTGCCACCAAGCCTGAGAACCTAAGTTTAATCCCTACAAGGTAGGAAAGAAACTCATGTACTCTCTCTCTCTCTCTCTCTCTCTCTCTCTCTCTCTCTCTCTCTCTCTCTCTCTCACACACACACACACACACACAAGTACTGTAATTGTAAAAGACGCATGGTCAATTTGACTGGGTTTGGAATCACTTAGGAAACTTACTTGCTGTGAGCATATCCATGTTGGTCCTTCCAAGGAGGTCTAACTGTGGAGGGAAGACCCACCCTGAGTGTGGGCTGTAATTCCAAATTGGATAAAAAGGGACAAAAGCAAAAGTGGGATTCCTCTCTGTCTGCTCCCCGACTACAGAGGCCATGTGACAGCCGCCTCACACCCTGTCACCATGCCTTCCTACCATGATGGGCTATATAGCCTCAAACCATGAGCCACAGGAAACCCTTTCTTTCCTTAAGTTACTTGGGTCGGGTTCTTGTCCACAGTGAGGTGGACTTTGATAACATGTCATGAGGGAAAGCTGTGACAGAAGGGGTTGACAGTGATCCTCGGATGCAGGTAGCCCTTAGGATGTAACTTCTTACAAGGATTGGGGTGGGTGGCTCCTGGGAATTCCCTGTGGCACTGAGGCCAAGTAAGGAGCAACAGTGATGCCCCTATCTAGGGACAGGGGTTTATTAGTTAACTGTCTCATTGCCGTGACTAAGTCACCGACAAGAATCAACACGGGAGGAAGAGTTGACACTGGTTCTCATCATGAAGGGCCATCAGTCAGTTGGTGAGGCTTGCTCATATCCGGGAGAACCAAGAGGCACAGCTGGGACAGGAATTGAAAGCTGTACTATCAGTATCAACACCCACCTCCCCAGAGACGCACTTCCTCCAGGCAGACCACACCTCCTAAAGACCACACAACCTTCCAAAACAGTGCCACCAACTGAGGCTGGAATAACCAATCATGTGAGCTTGTAGAGGACATTGCATACCCAAACATTAAGTAAATGGAGGTGCCAAGGTCAAACCAATGGCTACATTTGTGTGGCTTAAGATGGAGACCTGACCTTGAGCATGAGACTCCTAAGGAGACAGAGAAACATCCAGTATTTCTGAGTGAAGAGCACTAACAAGGCATCGATTCACCCAGTGCAATATGGGGGGAAGAACAGGGAATTTTCCAATAGGCAGATGTGTGACCAACATCACAGATAAACCAAGGGACCTCGGGTACCCTTACTTCCAAGACTCTCGGTTTGGTCTCTTGCATAAAAGGAAATCATAGATCCTCCTTATGGGGTTGTTGGGGGGGGGATTGTGACTAGCAGTCATTCCGCATAATGCCTGATACATTGTTGTTACTGGCCTGGTCATCAACATCATTATTCTTCCTTTAGAATTCACAGGCTGACTGGAGGTAGCAAAGCTGTGATTTAGGGCAGAGGTCGGTAAGCTTGACCCTTGAGCCTAATGAAGCCTGTTGTCGGGTTCTGTAAATACACTTTGATTGGCACACAGCCACGTTCCGACACTGACGTGTTGTTTGTGGCTGCCGCTTGCCTCACGGCAGAACTGAGAGGCGATGACGGAGACAGCATAACTCACAAAGCCAAAAATAGTCATCAACTGGACTCTTAAAAAAAATTCATCGGTCCCTGAGAAACTCATTTCCTTAGCCAATTAGATTTCGTCCTTCCCCACCCTGACCCCCACCCCTGCCTTGGCGTCATGAGACCTTGGTTCAAGACCCACTTCTACTACTTGCTGGTGGAAACTCTTTGACCAATGACCGAGCCAAAATATACGAGTCCTTGGTATCCTCTGTTTGCTTAACCTAGCAGTGACTGGGCACAGGGAGATTCACAAGAATCTTAGCCAAAATGTTAACTCCAGGGACTAAAGAGCAGGCTCGGCTGGTAAAGTGTTTTCTGCACAAGCATGAGGACCTGAGTTCGGATCACCCACGTAAAAAACTGAGTGTAGTGGTATGCATCTGTAATTGTTTCATTGGGGTTGGGAGGCAGAGATGGGGGAATCCCCCAAGGCTTACTGGCCAGCCAACCTACCCAAATAGGCAAGCTCCAAGTTTAATGAGAAACCCTGTCTCCAAAACTAGGATGGAGCGTGACTGAGGAAGACTCAACCTCTGGCCTCTCCATATGAGTACATATGTACTTGCACACACATGAACTCATACACACATATACCACAGGAACACAGATGCTAACCCTGTCCTGTGTCTCCCATCATTTCTTTTTTTCTCCTCCCCCCTCTTTCTTTACTATTTTTTTTCCTTTTCTGAGACAGTCTCATGGATGGACTTGAACTCCTGATCCTCCTGCCTCCACCTGCTGAGTGCTGGGATTACAGGCCTGCACCGGCATGCCCAGCTCCGCTTGTGTGCTTCCTATCCCCTGCTGTCTGCTGATAGAATCCTCCTTGAGACAACAAGGCTTCTGATGACAGGTCACTGCTGAAGTCATGTCAACTCACAGAGCAGAGAAAACAGGGAAATTAACTCCCACCGCCGCTGTCTGGCTTCATTAATGAGATTTTTCTAGCTGTTACTTTATCAAAGCAGAGAAAAGACCTTGAGGGTATGTGAGCCAGCGGAGGCGGGTGGCGGGTATGCAGAGATAGGATGAAGGAGATGCCTCCAGGGAGTGTATGCAGGTGGAAAACTACCCTGGAAAGGCAGGTGAGTAAGGGGGGGGGCACACTGAGGATGAGGAAATGGTAGGTGAAAGATGGGGGAGGGCAGTGTTGGGGGGGAGAAGCAGGAAAGTGAAGAGGGTGTAGCAAGGAGGCATCATGGGAGGGTCCCTATCTAAGTCCTGCATCACCCTCCCCTTTGACCCCAATGCTGGTTAAGGTTATAGGCCCTACTGCTGCCACTTGCCTAAGTCAAAATAATTGCTAACTGAAGTCTAAATACTCCTCCTTTTACTCACGTATAAATTCTACCCTCACCCCACACCAAGTTTCCTTTTGCAGTAGATGGAGACTACTACAGAAATCCCACAACTGGTCAAAACTCAGAGACAACTCACCAGGTGGTGCCCAACCCAAACGGATAGTCTACCGTCACCCCCAGCACTAAAGCTCTGGGGACGGCATGGAAGAGGGGATGGGAAGACTAAAAACCAGAAGACGAGACACCTGCCGGGAGATTGTGTCTTCTCGGTATGACAAGCAGCTGCCCCCGAGTGATCCTAGCAATGTGGTCACTTAAACAAGATCTATGCAGTGACACCACCATTTGACATGCCAGTGAGGATGAGGGAGATCTCTCTTAAGGCTTCCCCACGTAGATGAATAGCTATAGGAAATCAATGACTGTGGAGAGAGGGAAAAAATTTCTCCCCCCAGGGATGAGCCCCCCAGATTATCCAATTCTAAATGGTCATCCCTAAACACACATATATATAAGCAACACTAAGCAAACTTGGTAGGTTGTATACATGTACACACACAATGATAGTTGAAAGAGTAAATTTGAGAGGACACATGAAAAACTGGACAGGTTAGGGGGTAGAATGATGTAAAAAGGGTACTCACACATGACATTTTCAAAAAGCAATTAGATTAAAATTAAGAAAAACAAGGTGGGGCAAATGAAAGACACCTTTGAGACCTAGCAGGAAACTGTGACCACATTTATTCTGGTATCGTCTCCCTGTTGCCACCTGGCCTCTGAATCCTGACAGGTAATTGCCCTTCTGCTTAATCCACCATAAGTCAAACCTGTGGACAGAGACAGCATCACTCCATTGTGAAAATGATGGACAGAGATTCTAAGATGTGCATGGTCATGTGGGAAGGTGGTGGAGGCTGGGGACAGTGGTGGCCAGCAGCCAGGAGGAGTGGTAAGAAATGTGAGGGTCCTTAGGGGCCGCTCCAAGGATGCAAGGTGCAGAGAGAGAGAGAGAGCTCTCTTCCGTGGGATCCAAGACATTCTGGAACCCTGTCTTTCATCCACTCTCCTCTCCTCGTGGTTTTACTGCTATGCTTTGAAAAGAAGAAGGGGACACGCTGAGATGTCAAACTCATTCAGTGTAATGAGATGACACAGTCACAAACAGAAACTGAAGTCTGATGTTAACATCTAGAAATCTAGAGAAATCCTGAGGGTAACATCCCTGCCTCAATCTGTTCCGGGGGAGCACTTGTGAGATCAATTAATTGTCTGCAGGGAATTCATGGGCTACGGAGGGACCACTCACCTAGGACCCTGGGGGCGGGGTCTTCCTTAAGTAGCAAATAGCTGATGGCAATCATTTGTGTAACCTTGGAATTTGGGACAATCCAAGGTCATTATCACAAAATCTCCATTACAGTGGGTAGGTAAGTCAGTGGCTGGGAAAATAGGCAGTCCCTCCCCAGGTATGCTACACAAGTAAATGAGGGCTGTCATTGTCACTATCCTAGCCTTTGCCCAGGATTCTCTGGAGTATGTTCTCATCATGGCAGGAAGCTACTGTGTGTATTTATGACGTCACAGGTGTGTGTGTGTGTGTGTGTGTGTGTGTGTGTGTGTCTCACCTTGACCCAAGCTAAAGAGTCATCAGAGGAAGGAGCCTCAGCTGAGGAAATGTCTCAGTGAGATCCAGCTGTAAGGATTTTCTCATTTAGTTATCAGTGGGGCGGGCCTAGTCCATTGTGGGTGGGGCCATCCCTCTGCTGGGGGTCCTGGGTTCTATAAGAAAGCAGGCTGAGCAAGCCATGAGGAACAAGCCAGTAAGCAGCATCCTCCATGGCCTCTGCATCAGCTCCTGCCTCCAGGTTCCTGTCCTGCTTGAGTTCCTGTCCTGACTTCCTTCACTGATGAACAGCAATGCTGAAGTGTAAGCCAAATAAACCCTTTCCTCCCCAACTTGATTTTTAGTCATGGTGCTTCATCAGCAATAGGAACCTTGACTAAGACCACAACCTTGGCTACCATTTCTCAGATGCCATTTACCTCATTTTTCTTTTTTCTTGACAGGACCTCTCATTGGCTTGTAGTTTCATCCAGCAGGCTAGACTGGCTGGCCAGCAAGCCTCAGAGATCTACCTATCTCTGCCTCCCCAGTGCTGGGATTTCAAATGCACACCACATCTGGCTTTTAAACTTGCTAAGGGTTATACCCATTTGCTTACTGTCTCAGTTAGCGTTTCTGTTGCTATGAAGAGACACCGTGACCTAGGCAACTCTTGAAAAGGAAAACATTTAATTGGCCGCTTACTTACAGTTTCAGAGGTTTCAGTCCATTATTATGGCAGGGACTGTGGCTGCATGCAGGCCGGCATGGCACTGGAGTGGCAGCCATGAGTGTAGATCCTGACCCACGGGCATACTTTCCCCACCAAGACTCCACTTCCTCGTGGTTCCAATAGTGTCCCCGCATAGTGTCATCATGGTGGGGGACGTTTCAGATTCCAACCTTAACACTAGCAGCTCTAACATGTTGACCTCTTTGTGGTCTACATTAGTTTGCCTGGTGAAGGCTTCCAACAGTCGGGGTGGCATCACTCCCCTGCCCCCATTCTCAAAAGACGAGTGTGGCCATGATGGGCCCAGGGCAGCAGCATCTTATATATCTATGAGATGAATGAATAAATGATGATGGTTTCATTTTTGTTGGGCCCCAGCCCACACGGGGTCTCTGTGAGTTGCTTGTCAGCCAATAACCACAGGTGTATCCTGTTTTCCAGTCCTGGCTTACAGCCCCAGCCTTGCCCCACTGGCATCAACCTCTATTTATGGAAACATGAACTCTTACACCTGAAGTTTTTTTCCACCGTGCTGTAAGGCTGCTCCCTCCTTGCAACACACACACACACACACACACACACACACACACACACACACACGAGTGTGCATGCACACATTCTCTTCGCACAAATGGCCGGACGTCTTGTCTTTCATTTAAATCTCCAGGCTTTTGCCTGACACATTATACTTGCCACACATTTTGCAAATAGGAAAACTGACATTTGGGGATCACTCAAGGACAATGACATTCTGACACTGACGTGAATCCAAACCTCCCTGATGCACAGCTCCATGACTGGACACTGCTCTATTGTCCTATTAGATCTTCTAGAAGAGACCCACAACTGGGTTGAGAACCAGGGGTCCCGGGAGAGGAGCAGAAGTAGGGAGGCGATCTGGAGATCTGAGAAACACGGGGGCAGGGCTGGTGGCACAAAGCCACCTCTGAACTGTTTCCTCAGCTTGGTGACTGATGATGACAAATGGGAAGAAGCTGGCTTGCTCTGCCTGGCTCAGGCTTAAATGAGGACAAAACAAGAGTTGACAGACAGAAGCCCGAGTGGCCATGATCTCAAATGTACCTATGAAGGGATGGGCGCAGCCAGCCTCGCATCCCCATTAATTTCAATTGTAAATGGTTGCACGCTGAAACCAACTAGCAGCAATGGTGACAACAGAGACGGTAGGTTGGGGGGTGGTAAGGAGGGAGGGGGAGACCCAGAACCCCAGGCGGGGATGTGCAAATCAGACGGGGTGTTTAGATTCAGAAATGATCAAAAGTTCCCCACTGACAACTGCCCAGAGCCCCCCTTTGTCCTCGGAGGCAGCGTGGGGTTGGTTTGCAGCGTGGAGCAGGGCTTAAGGCTGGCTCCACGTTGTCTGACCCTGTCATCTGAGGTCTGCCCTCTTTTGGAACACTTTATAAAACACAGGCAAGGGTAACCATCTCAGTGTCCCCACAGGCTGGATACTATGCTATGAAACAACCTACCAGCACACAGTAGGTGTACAACAACAAAAATAAACAGCCACAACAGAGGTATCTATTACCAGCTTTTCTGAACAGCCCCTCTCCCTAGCTGGAGGTGACAAGACACAGGAGGAGGTTCTTGAGGAAGGAGGCTGTGGCGAGGGGGATGCATCTGTGAGTTATGGGGAGGACAGAGCTGTCTGAGTCTCCAGCCATTTATCCCCCTCCTATCAGCCTGTCCTCGGAGCGTGTCCACAGCCCTGGCTCTCCTGGAGTGATGGATGGGGCCCGAGTTCCCCACATGCTACATCATCAATTACTCACACATTTATTGCCTTGAACTGAGTTTATGGAACTTAAATCAGACCCATTTGGAGTTGTCTGAGCTGAAAATTCTCTCCCAGTTGGAAATGTGATGTTTTAAATTATGCAGCCACCTTCGACTTAACGTTTGGTGGAAGTTAATCGTCCATGGGACAAAAGGGCCACTGAGACGTTCCCCACACAGGCTCATCCCGTGGAATTTACTGCCTTAGTGGGCTCCACGGGGACAGAGCAGATGACCCCGGCAATCAGAGACCCCCCCAGCTAGGCACCACCAGGTCTAAGCTTCAGGCCATTGGTGTCTCCCTTAGCCTGAGAATCAAAGCACTGTCCAGAGAGGTGTCATGCCATCTATATTTTGTGGCCGCCGTAGAGACAGCTTACTGATGGGTCACATTCCAAGGTCAAGGCAGGGTGTTCATATTCCAAAGCAAGTCTTTCTTAAGCATCACTAAGAGGCAGCTAGGATGTCTGTTGAGATGATGGTGCTGTGACAGGCTCTGCAAGTGAGGTCACTGGGGCTGGAGATCTGCTCCAACAGGGTGCGTTCAGCATCAAAAGGCATCGACTGCACAGGGAGGTGGAGCCCCAGTCCCCCAAAAGCTCAGAGATAAAAAGGAAGCTGGCCCTGTTAGAGTAAATGCGCTCAGCCTAACGGGTAAGAGGACTTAGAAACAGTATCTAAGCTTCTCATCACTGAAGGTCACCCTCGGGGACGGCCACTAGTAGAGGCGTTTTGGGGTTGTCACAACTCCAAGGGGAAGGATAATGGTGGGCAAAGACCAAAGGACACTGATTAACATCTTACAAGTGAACATAACGGCCCCCCATGAAAAGTTGCCCTGCCATATGTGGTCAGAGTGGGTGTTTAGAAATCTCTGTCTAGGTGCCCGGAGGGGAACCATGTTCTTCAATTCAACACTTGGACAGATTGTGGTGGGTTGAACAGGAAGTGTCCTCCACAGACTCACAGCTCCGGTCCTAGCGAGTGGCACGATTTTGGGAGACTGAAAACTTTAGCAGGTCAGACTGACCTAAAGGACTGGGGATGGGGGGGTCCTTAAGGGTGACTTATCCTTGGCTACTTCCTGTTGCCCTTTGTAGCCTACTGGACCATGATGTGATCAATGAGAAACCCTGTCTCAGAGGCTGGGAAACAAGGAGCAACACCCAAGGTTATCCCCTGACTTCTATGCCATGCACACATGGACTGCACCCACCCTCAATCCTCTCCACATCACTCATACACCATCCCTTGACGCACCCTTCCCCCAGAAGGGCCTCTTCTGTGGGTTGTGCTGTGGAATATTGTTTTAACTGGGCAAATGTGTATTACGTTTGGTTAAGCTGTGGGATATTATTTTAACTGTGTAAATATGTGCTACATTTGTTTCTGCTGCCTTTGTTAATGATTCAAGGATGTGTTACATTTGTTTGTGCTGCATTTGTTTAACTATATAAATATGTGTTACATTTGTTTCAACTTGCCTGCCTAAGGCACCTGATTGGTCTAATAAAAAGCTGGATGGCCAATAGCTAGGCAGGAGAGGGATAGGCGGGGCTGGCAGGCAGAGAGATTAAGTAGGAGGAAAACTCTAGGCAAACAGGAGAGGGAGGAGGGGGGAGCAAGGGAGAAAGAGGGTGACACAGCCAGGGCCAGGAGCCAGGCTGCTGCCAGCCAGACATGAGAAGCAGAGAAAGTAAGATATATAGAAGACAAAAAAGGTAAAAGGCCCTGAGGCAAAAGTAGATGAAAAGAAACTGGTTAAGTTATAAGAACTAGTGGGACAAGTGTAAGATAAGACCAAGAATTCATAGAAGTCTCCATGTCAAGATTTGGGAGCTGGCTGACAGCCCAAAAGAAAGCCTGGAACAGGCTATGGTGAGGACCAAAAATACAATTTCCTAACAAGTTTGGCATGACTTCATGTAGCTGTCCTTGGGACCCACCAAAAAGATTCACTACTCCACATCAGTTTCTCTGCCATGGCACTAGTGACATTCAGGGCGGGACCATCCTGTACACTGTAGAACGTTGAGCAGTTGACATGTCTACCCATGAGCAGCCAGCAGCAGTCCCACCCTGCAAGCCGTGACAAACTAAAACACCTCCAAACACTGTTGCAGGTCCTTGGGGTGGCCAATCTTTCTCCTCTGAGGACTATTGCACAGGAAGAATAAATAAAACACTACACAGACCTCCCCCATGCCAGAGCTGTCAGTCTGGTACCTGGGAGTAAGCAAGAATGGGTACAATGAAGAGAGATACCTGGAAGGCAGTGGGGACTGAGGACATGTCACAAGAAGGCCACCTGCATTTGTTCCTGCCTGCAGAGATCCTGAGTACCACAATGCCAAGCCTGCCATTCACAGGGCTCTACCCAGTGTGGTCAAGCAGCTTCAGGTCTTACCAGCTAAGTGGCTTGTCTTCTTAAAGTTCCCCCCAAGGTCTCAGAGAAACTACCTTTCCCAGGTGTCATGGCTCAGCCCTGTAACTGGGGGTACAAATAGGCAACCTTAGCTAATTGCGGAAGAGAGGTGTGGGCTGGCAAAGGCACCCGGGGCAGGTGCTCAAAAGCCATCTGATGACAGTTACAGAGGAGCAGCAGCCTCCAGGTTCCTCAGACTCAGCAAACCCAATGGCAAGGTTATAATTGCCCCAGGTTTTCAAAAGCCACATGGCTGATGGCTGGGGAAAGAAAGGAAGGGCTGTGGGAACGGGGCCTGATAGAGGGGCGTGGATGCAATCAGAAGGTTTTCAGAGTCCCCCGTGCCATGACACCTGCCTTGATTTTCTATGGAGTTTGGCTATGAATGTGCCCCCAGCCACACCCCCTCTGCCATTACCTGCCTGTCCCTATGATCGCAGTCACTTATGTGAAAGTGGAGGAAAAAACGCAGTCTCAAGACTGATCTACGCCCCTCACCTTGCAGGCAGCCCAGCCTCCGAGCACATGGCAGCGTCTTGGCCCACTGTCAATAGGACCTTGATTCTGGAAGGCTGAAATGGGGGTTTTCACGACTGAATGAAGGAGGCCAGTTCAGCCCAACTCCAAGGCCCAGGGGCTGTTTCTGCACCTGCTACTGTTTTCACCTCTTTCCTATGAAGAAAACTGTTCAGGGTGGGGGCAGAGGGTGGGGACTCCTGTGTTGCAGCAGCCGGGCCTCTGGCTAGGTCTCTCTGTGTCTGTTGACTTTCTTATCTGCTGTATAAGGATTTGAACAGGAAGACTCTGAAGTCAGGCACTTGATTCTGTAACTTGGAGCTTTATAAACTTTGGGCAAGTGCTTGTTTAGCATCTCTGGGCTTCACCTAACTCCTCCTTCCTCATTGGAGCAACTGTGTGCTTATAGTGTTAGTGGACACCCAGGGGATGCTTCATTAATATTTTTTTAAAACTTTGTATTGCATTTGCCTGTCTGCTTTTGTGAGTGCATTTGTAGAGGTCAGAGGCCAGTTGGCAGCAGTCAGTCGTCTCTCTCCATCCTGCGGGTCTCGGGTATTGAACTCAGGTCCTGAGCAAAAGCACCTTTACCCACTTAGCCATCTGGCAGCCACCAAACTCAGACCGTAAATGAACTAGATTAGGAAGGGGCGGCTTGACTGAGAAATTCATGTGCATCCGTGTGTGTTGCTGGAGACTGAACCCAAGGCTCTGCACATGCTAGGCAAGTTTTCTACCACAGAGCTGCATCCTCAGCCCTCTCCTTAGTTTGAGACTGTCTCGATAAGTGACCCAGGCTGACCCCAAACTTGTAGCCCAGGGTAGCCCCCAACTCACACTGTAGCACAGGATAGCTTTGAACCTGGCTTCCTGAGTAACGGGGACTGCAGGCATACACCACTATACTCTTGCCACGCTCACTCCTCCAGAATAAAAGTCCACGTTGGGGTCTAATGCATGGGATGAACGGTGCCCCCACCCCATGCAAGCTCATACTTATAGCCTCCAAATGTGACCATATTTGGAAACAGGGTCTTTACAAGAAGGTCATAGTAGGTTTGTGTGGCTTTACACTAATGGCCTCAGTAATAAAAAGGACCAAGACAGGTGTTGGGGGCTGGGTGGGGGAGCAGGTGTTAAGGCACGGGAGGGAGGGGTAGAAATGAGCAGCTTCATGCTAAGGTGGTTGGTCCAGGGCTGCTGTGGCCCCCACAGAACCAAAAGATGAGGACAGATGATGAGGCCCCTGGACATGCAGGAAGAGCACACCCTCTATGCAGTCCCCAGCCATTTTCATTGCTCTTATGGAGAAGGGTTTCTATTTAATACTCTCCCCTTCCTTCAGTCATCCCCTGGCAACATCCATGGATGTCAACACTCAGGTTTGAGCATGCTTGCTATTCCCTTCAAATGGACTCATACATATGTGGACATTTGTGTTTAGCTTCTTTCAGTTAATTTTTTTAATTAAAAAATTTTAATTCTTTTATGTGCATGAGTGTTCTGTTGCATGTATGTCTGTACACCACATACATGCGTGGTGCCTGCAGAGGCCAGAAGAGAGCATCACATCCCCAGAACTGGAGCTACAGATGATTGTGAGTGGACATGTGGATGCTGGGAACCAAACTTCATCCCTCCAGTCTGCTAACATCATGCTTTTGAGACTCATGAATGTTGGAACACATATAATTACATCATTCATGTGTAGACACTGCACACACACACACACACACACACACACACACACACAACACCCATGGACCCTTTCATCCATTGATGAATGAGTAGGTCATGTCTGCCTTAGCCATACTCGACATTCACAAGCTTGAAGACCTGTTTCAAAGGTTTTGGGGACACACACCCAAGAGCACATTGCTGGACATGCACTAATTCTGTGTTTGGGAGTCTTAGCTGAACCGTACTCCCTAGAAACTGGCTGTAACAGTTTGCCTTCCCTGGACAGGATCTGACTGGCAGGGATAGAATGCTAAGCCCTGAGCTAGAAAGTTCATGAGAAATCCCAGGGCCTACACACGAAGGGAACAAAGCCAGCAGGGAGAAAGGGGAAACGGGAAGGCTTGCCCTGGTCTAACTGGTTTTCCTGACTTTTATAGAGATGTGGATGAAGGAAAATTAAAGACTCTCTTTGTGTATACATATATTTTATAAACAACATAAGACATATTGGAACTGGAGAGATGGCTCAAAGTACTGGCCAGGCAAACATAAAGGCCTGAGTTCCAATCCCTAGCACCACATTAGCTAGGCACTGTGGTCCATAAAGCCAGCACTGGAGAGGCAGACACAGGAGGATCCCTGGGGTTTTCTGGGAAGCCAGACTAGACAATGGGCAAGCAAAACAAGCCCTGGACAGGGAGCCTGGAGAGTGAAGTATGACTATTCCTGATCCTGTGGGCCAGCACGCCCTGCTGGCCCCAGACTGGGACCCTGAGTCTCAGCTTGCTCCTTAGTGGAAGCCCTCCAAAGAGAGATGTGGGTCAAGCTGAGTACTGTCTGGACCAGAGCTCCAATCCCCAGCTGGTATCCACAGGGGAGGAGACCTGCAGGGAGAGGTGGCTTGATGGGCAGTGGGTGACCCCGAGGCTGTTTCATTGACAGGAGATTAGGCCAGAGTTTTTGTGACTCCCAGTCTGACAGACAGATGTGACAGGAGGCTACGGGGCTTCTGATGCGGCTGATGCCCTTCTGAGAGAGAAGGGCACATCCGGACACACAGCCAGAGAGGCTGTCCATGTGGCTACTGATGTGTGAGTGACAGCTTTGCCTCAGTGTTCAACCACCTGCTAAATCCTCAGTCAGAGGCCTGGCCCGCAAAGAGCTGGCTCTCCGTGGGATAAGCTCAACATCACCCATGCATGGGAACCATGCCAGCATGTGATGAGTGTGGAATCGCTGTGGTAGCCATAGGTGAACTGATGTCTGGCTTATAAACTACAAATGGGTATCTGGCCTTTCAGGACTTCAGTGTATGCATCTGTAAAATGGAACTAAACTACTAGCTGCCACCCAGGGCTGCAGAAGCAAATTAGAAGCAAATGATCAGGATAGAGCATTTGAAAAGAAAACTATTTTGCAATATAAAAAATACATGAAATTCAACATTTCATGTTCACAAATCATCACTTTTTTTTTCTTGTTTGATTTGCTGTTGAAGAGACAGGGTCTCACGTAGCTCAGCCTGGCCTCAAACTTAACCATGTAGCCCAGGCTAGCTTCAAACTCTCTATGGAGCTGAGGGTGATCTTGAATTCATGAGCCTCCCATTTCTACCTCCCAGGGGTGCAGTCCATATCCTGCTTATGTGCTGCTCTGCCCCCTGAGCTGTGCCCCCCGATCCCAAAGCAAGTTCTTCCTGGCACCCCACTGCTCCAGCTCTCT